GTTCTGGCTCGCCTCAGCGCGACACGACAATTATGACAATTACACGTGTGCTGCTGCGGTCCAGCCTTTGCTCGAGTGCCTCGACATCGCTGGCAGCTCCACCCTCGGGATTCACAACATGGACTACGAGTCTGGCACCGTGACCGATTCTTCCGAGGCCACGGTCTATGACCCTGAGACGGAGGTGTTCCATGCAATGATGATGAACAATAGCCAGCTAGTCCAAACGGACGAGTCCCTATTCGGATTTGAGCAATGCGGCGACGCCTCGGTCGGCGACGGTGTCGTTGGAGCCTACGACATCGCAGCGCTTCTTTGGTACCAGTTCAAGGCCACGCCATACGACGGCCTGCCTTCCGACCCTCGGGTCGTCAACACAACGCGCTGGCGCGCTGGCACCGCTCTGAGGTGCGGCTTTGCCGGCCCGGACGCCGGTGACGTGGAGTCGCGATCTGACTGGATGCTCGGCGTGCACGAGGGCTCTTGCTTGAGCGGTTTCGACCACGTTGAGCGCGATGCCTCACCGTCGCCGCCGCCGCTAGCCCCCCCGGCCCCACCGCTGGCCCCCCCGCCGTCCTCCCCGAACAGCGCCCGCCGCTTGTCGCTGAATGGGGAGACGGACGTCGCCTCTGCTCTGGCCGAACTTACGGAGCAATCACTCCGTCCTGGCGCCCAGGAGATGAACGGACAAGTCGAGAGATGGAGCAGCCGGGTGAACGGGGGCCTCTGGCTCAAGGTGCACGCCCCCGGCGTTCAGATTGCCACCGAGCTCTTCCTCACGGGCCTCGCCCCTAATCCGGATCGAGTCGGCAAGCTCTCGAATCGACAATGGCCCGACAAGGACTGCGAGCGGTGCGAGCCGGGCACCCCCGGCGTTCAAGTGCGGTTCGCACGCCGTCTCGAATACGGGATCGCAGAAAACCCGGAGTACGCGCTCACTCTCTATCGGCGAAAGTGTTCCAACATGCTCCCTGGCTTCGGCGGGTCCATCGCGCTGAAGGGCAACACGCTTAGCTTGCGCCAAGAGACACCCAACAAGGCGTGCGCCTTCGACGTCTTCCTCTGGGTGCCTCTGACGGAGCTCGACGGGTCGATGCGCTCCTCCTCGTCGATCCCACCTGTGTGCATTGGACGTGGCTCGAGCAGCGAGGGCGCCTATCCAACCATCCAGCGAGCCATGGCAGCGTGCGACCCCGCGGTGGAGCGGCCCCCACCGTCGTCCATGCAGAGCCCTCCGCCGCCGCTCCCGCCGCTGCCGCCGCAAGCCTCCACGTCCACGATCAGCGAACCGAGTAGCGCGACAGGAACCCTCCGAGGCGTGGGCCTCATCTCCGTGACCATCGCGGTGCTCTTGCTGTCCCTCGCCTGTGGACTCGGCCTCGTGCGCTACAGACGACGCAACGCGCGGAGCAGGTCGCTAGCCACCGCTGGGCTCACCGCGCCACTCGGCTCCGCCTCCGTTCTTCCCCCGAGCGACTCCAGCATAGACGCTAGCCAGCCGAGCGAGCTAGGCAGCGAGTCCAGCGCGCCCAGCGAACAGAGTTGTTCTGTTTAAATTTTTTGTTGAGAGAGAGTGTGTTGTTTTGTTTCATTCTTCGTTGTAAAATTCGTAAATAACTACACACCCTCGCCACCAAGAGCACCCGCACCACCAAGGCCGCCGCCCTCGCTGCCGCCGGTGCCCTCGGCGCCACCGGCGCTGCCGCAGCCGCCATCATTGCCGCCGAGCTCCCCGACGAGCTTCGAGCAAGTAAAGGCTGCCTATCTCGGGTACTGGTTCGACATCAACGGGCTCATCTGGTATCCGCATGACGGCGTCTACGCCCGTGGAGGACGCGAGTGTCTCTCAAAGTGTTACCACGATCCGTCGTGCGTCGGCATCACGACGAGCAGCGCTGAAATGAACGTCTGCTCAAGATCGCGGTGCCACTGCTACCGGCTGCAGGCAGATCGTGCGGAGTGGTTCAGATATGAGTCGCGAGGGCTTTACAGGCTCTTTGAGCCTAGCCCGTACGCAGGCAACCCCAGCGATGCTGCCGAGCCGAGCCGCCGTCGCCGGGTCGGGCCCCGACAAATTGGTACTGTCGACGAAATCAGCAAGTCGTATCGGACCTGGTCAGCTTACATCAAGTACGACGACCCGACCAAGTGCATGAACTCGTGCGACGGAAGCACGTGTCACGCGCGAATCCCTTGGCACAGCTGCGCCGAGACGG